GCAGCCTCAACCTGCTGGGATCCGGCGATCCTTCCGCATCAGCCTTCCAAGTAGCCAGAATTACAGGCATGCGCTACCACGCCCGGCTGATTTTTTGATTTATTGTAGAGATGAAGTCTTGCTGCCCAGGCGGGTCAGCGAACCCACGGGCTCAGGCAATCCACTCACCTCAGCCTCCCAAAGGCGTGGGATTACAGGCTGAGCCACCAAGCCCGGCAAATATAACCCTTAATGAGCAGAAACTGTATTAAATCTTCAATGAAAACCAAATGTCAAAGGACCCCAAAAAAACCAGCCCTAATAGATTTTACCTCTAATGCCAAAGCTGTCTTGTCATAAGCACAGGGTACTCTTTTCTGGATTGCTTTTGCAAAGACAGGTCCATTCTGTGTGGATGGCAAAGGGTTGATCGCTGCCCCAGGAGTACTGGAAACTGCAGGTAGAGGAGTTGTGGTTTGAGGTTGAGCGTATGCATGAGCAGGTTCTGGGATCCCGTAACTGTTGGAATTCCTATTTCCATGCTTTCCATGTGGTGAGGATCTCACAAGCTTTTCAACATAAGGGACAGGAATCATCCCAACCCGGCCATCCTTGTTCCGGGCACTCCACCACTGTTCTTCAGGTTTCTCTATTATCACCAGGATCTCACCCTTTTTAAAGGGCAAGTCTTCAGCATCATTCCCAGGAAAATCATAGAGAGTCCGTACATATTCCAGATTTTCTTCTGCTGTAGGCAGGTTGGGTGCTGAGATAGATCCCACTGGTGGGCTAGGATACCTTAAGAAAGAAAGAAAATTACTCTAAGAGAAAAATCTTACTCTACACCAGTGTCAAACTGAATAAACCACTCTCTTCTATAACAAATTAGTTTTCTCTATATGTTTTTAAAAATCAAGATTTATTTTTTAAATTTTACTTATGTATTTTTTGAGTTGAGGTCTCACTCTGTCACCCAGACTGAAGTGTAACTGGCACGATCATGGCTCATGCTGTTTTCAACTCCTGGGCTCAGGTGATCCTTCTGCCTCAGTCTCCCAAGTAGCTGGGACCAAGGGTGCCAGCCACAAGGACCGGCTTATTTTTTATCTATTTTTTATTTTTTTACTTGGAGTCTCACTCTGTTGCCCAGGCTGGTGTGCAGTGGCATGCTGATGGCCACCACAGCCTCAGTTCGCTGGGCTCAGGCCATCCTTCTATCTCAGTCTTCCAAGTAGCTGGAACTACAGGCACATACCATCATGCCTGGCTAATTTTTTAAAAAAATTTATTGTAGAGATAAGGTGTCGCCAAGTTGCCAAGGCTGGTCTTGACTCCCTGGACCAGGTAATCCTCTCGCCTCCACTTCCCAAAGTGCTGGGATTACGGGTGTGAGCCACTGTGCCTGGCTATTTTTTTTTTTTTTTTGAGTTGCAGTCTCACTCTGTCGCCCAGACTGGAGTGCAGTGGCTGCTCCCAGTCACCGCAGCCTCGACCTGCTGGGCTCTGGAGATCCTTCTGCCTCAGCCTTCCGAGTAGCTGGAATTACAGGCGCGTGCTACCACGCCCGGCTAATTTTTTGATTTATTGTAGAGATGAGGTCTCGCCTGCCCACGTGGGTCTCGAACCTGCAGGCTCAGGCAATCCACTCACCTCAGCCTCCCAAAGGTGCGGGATTACAGGCTGAGCCACCGAGCCCAGCCCTCAATTTATTTTTAAAATCTCAAGTAAGTTCAACAGCTGTCTTCCTTTGGTTCCTTGTCACAACCATCACACACTGTTCCTCCCAGTCCTAATCTACAGTTCACATCCTGCACACTTCCCTGGATACAGGGAGAAGATGACAAAGGTTTCTGCTTCTGATCCCTTAAAAATATAAAAACTGCTGGGCTCGGTGGCTCAGCCTGTAATCCCACGCTTTGGGAGGCTGAGGTGAGTAGACTGCCTGAGCCCATGGATTCGAGACCCGCCTGGGCAACTTGGCAAGACCTCATCTCTACAATAAATCAAAAAATTAGCCAGGCGTGGTAGCACGTGCCTGTAGTTCCAATTTCTTGGAAGGCTGAGGCGGAAGGATCGCCAGAGCCCAGCAGGTCGAGGCTGCGGTGGCCGGGAGCGGCCACTGCACTCCAGCCTGGGCGACAGAGTGAGACTCCAACTAAAAAAAAATAAAAACTAGAAAAGGGCTTATATGTTTACCAAATTAAAAAAATGATAAACCTCACATTTCATCTCATACAGAACTGTTATTTGACCAACATAATGAACACCTGTGGAAATTTCACTATCATGCTCACAGGTAAGAGCTCTCATCTAAGCATCAGTCCATAGGCACTGCTACTGCCTTTGCTGTGCTTATGGATTCGATGTTTGCTGAGTGCCTTGAAGAATGCACTCCTAGAGTAAGCTAGAAAAGCACAGTCTCTGCTCTCCAGCAACATCCCATTTGCAAAAGAAGTACAGAAATCTACTTCTCTTCACCTAAGAAATGTTCTGAAAAGTTGCAAATATACCAAGTTTTGGAAAAAAACTATTTTATGAATAGCTTCTTTTTCCTTTAACTTTTCTAAAGCACAGAATCTACACTAGATTTAAAAATTCTGGGCTTTATACAAAAAGTCTGCACCTGTTTAGGAGGTGGCTTCACTAGTGGGACCATTGCTAGAGCCTGGTTCCAGAAAAGCCCCAGAATGTGTGCTAGGAAAGGATATGGCTATTTAACCACGAGCATATGTTTCCAATTTGTTTTATCTTCAGTTTGTTCATGGCCATTTTCCTTCTTCCTCTTTTTTCTTTCCATCTCCCAATTAATTATCTAACTACTATTTCATATTAACAGACTAGCAACTATGTTGAACCATTTTTACTTAAAATAATTTTCCTTTATAAAAAAAGTAACCATATTACAACACTGTATGAGGAAAAAAAGGAAACAAAAGAAAAAACAAATCCCACAGCTCCTGCCCTAAGAAAATTACTATTAACCTTCTCCAATCCCACTGGTCCAGTTTATGGCTTTCTTTTTTTTTTTTTTTTTGAGTTGGAGTCTCACTCTGTCGCCCAGACTGGAGTACAGTGGCTTTCTTAAAAGAGAGTCTGTATATTTTTTGTGGTGGTTTCTCTGCCTAATATCACATCACAGGTATTTCTCCGCATTACTGGTTTTCTTAATGATCACTTTCATGGCAAAGTGACATTTCATTTTGTGAGCCTGCTGCATCTTTGGATTTTATTTTTTCTCTTTCTCCCTACTTAACCATCAATGTTACAAGTCCTTTTGAATGTATTTTTCCTATATTAGACTTTTTATAAAGCCTAGACTCCCAGAACTGGAATTACTAGATAAAAGAACATGAATTTTTTTATGGCCTTTGGTACATATTGCCATAATGCTTTCCAAAAGGCAGCCTTCACAATTTGGCAAAACTTACACCATTTCAAATGCAAATAACTAGTTTCATAGTAATCAGAATTCCATGGTTATTAGGAGCTTAATCTAAAAACTCAAAAGCCTTGTTACTTATTAACACAATTTAATAACCAAGAGCAAGTTGCTTTTTTTTTTTTGAGTCAGAGTCTCACTCTGTCACCCAGACTAGAGTGCTCATGGCTACCACAGCCTCGACCTGCTGGGCTCAGGCGATCCTTCTGTCTCAGCCTTCAAAGTAGCTGGAATTACAGGCACGTGCCACCACACCCAGCTAATTTTTCTTGGTTTATTGTAGAGATGACATCTCACCAAGTTGCCCAGGTTGGTCTCAAACCCCTGGACTCAGGCAATCCTCTCACCTCAGCCTCCCAAAGTGCTGGGATTATAGGCGTGAGCCACTATGCCCGCGAGCAAGTTGCTTTATACCAGTACATCTAAAAAAAAAACAAAAACAAAAACGGATAGCAGGAGTAGTAGGGGCAGCAAGAGTAATAGAGTTAATACTTATTATCTATGCCAGGAACTGTTTGCAGTCTTTGAAGACATTAAATTATTTTATCCTCACAGTAATCCTGTGAGGTAGTTGCTGATGCTGTTATTACCCCCATTTTACAGATGAGGAGCCAAAGAGGTTAGATTTGCACTTAGGTAGTCTGGTTCTAGATTCCTCACTCATAACCTCTAAGGTAATCAGCCTCAGGGATAAACCCTGCATTTTCCAGGTGTGTGAGAATTAATGTAATAAAGCAGGAAAATATTCACAATTTCTGACTGTCACTGAGCATTCAATTGGTGTGCATGTACCCTTCAAGTATACCCTTGTTTCTATTTCCAGAGCCACAAGAGCCTATGAAGTCTGGTGAGACAAGGGTACCTGCATAATGAACATGTACACCTAACTCTGAATTGTACCCCACATCTTTAAAATCAAAAGGAAAAGAATCTAAAAATATCTAATACCTTTATTTTAAAAAAAGTCTGGTGAGTACAGTATAAAACCACAGACATTAGCCGGGCTCGGTGGCTCAGCCTGTAATCCTGTGCCTTTGGGAGGCTGAGGTGAGTGGATTGCCTGAGCCCATGGGTTCGAGACCCACCTGGGCAGCGAGACCTCATCTCTACAATAAATCAAAAAATCAGCCGGGTGTAGTAGTGCATGCCTATAATTCTGGCTACTCGGAAAGCTGAGGAGGAAGGATCGCCGGAGCCCAGCAGGTCGAGGCTGCGGTGGCCGGGAGCGGCCACTGCACTCCAGTCTGGGCGACAGAATGAGACTCCAAATCAAAAAAAAAACAAAAAACAAAACTGCAGACATTATACCAAAAGCACAATCAGTTCCATCTCAGACCACACCCAAGGGTATTTTATTATTTGTATAGTTAAAAGTTAAAAGTAAGCCAGTCTCAGAGGCTCATGCTTGTAATCTCAGCACTTTGGGAGGTTGAGGCAAGAGGACTGTCTGAGCCCATGGGTTCGAGACTAGCCTGGGTAACATGGTGAGACCTCGTCTCTACAATAAATCAAAAAGTTAGCTGGGCACGGTGGCACATGTCTGTAGTTCCAGATACTTGGAAGGCTGAGGCGGAAGAATTATCTGAGCCCAGCAAGTCTAGGCTGCTACTAAGCCACTGTGACACTGTTACTGTAACAGCCTGGGAGACAGACTGAAACTTCGACTCAAAAAAGTTAAAAGCAGTTTGTCAGTCCCATAGCACAGATCATGAGGCCACCACTGGTATAGTTTCAGTGGGGATTAACACTGATAAAATTCATTTATTCAGATCCTACTATGTATTAAGAATTTGGGGGACAAAAATAAGTAACTAAAACTAAGTTCTCCTCTCGAGGTCAGGCTCGGTGGCTCAGCCTATAATCCCAGCACTTTGGGAGGTTGAGGCAAGTGGACAGCCTGAGCCTGAGGTTTGAGACTAGTCCAGACAACTTGGCAAAACCTCGTCTCTACAATAAATCAAAAATCAGCTGGGCACGGTAGCACGCACCTGTAGTTCCTGCTACTTGGAAGGATCACCAAAGCCCAGCAGGTCAATGCTAGGGTGGCCATGAGCATGCCACGGCACTCCAGCCTGGGCAATGGGGTAAGATTCCAACTCAAAACAAAACAAAACAAAACTAAGTTCCTCCTCTCAAAAGACTGACAACTTAGTAGAGGAAAGCAAATGGAAGCACAAATGAAATTAATGTGCATCATGACAGAAGTAGGGAGTCATTTAAAAGTATGCTAATATGGAGTTTGTGGTGGGCATGTCTTGCCAGGCAGCAATAACTGAAGCACATCCTGAAAATAACCTTTACGTTCCTTGGTGAATGGTTGTTTAATGTTCTGAGGTATGTACTCCAAGGATGGCCAGCA